ATCATAAAGATTTAAGTATAGCATCAGAAATGGTTTCCGATGGTGTTATGACATTAATGGAAAAAGGTGTTGTGACAAATCGTTATAAAAAATTTCATCCTGGAATAACAACATGTACATTTATATTGGGTACAAGAAAACTTTATGATTTTGTTAATGATAATCCAAAAGTAATTAATTTGGATGTTGGAATAACAAATGATCCAACACAAATTCGTCGAAATCCAAAAATGTGTGCTATTAATGCTGCACTTGAAGTTGATCTTACTGGACAAGTTTGTGCAGATTCAATAGGTGTAATGCATTATTCAGGTGTTGGAGGACAAATGGATTTTATGCGTGGTGCTGCTTTAAGTGAAAAAGGAAAACCTATTCTTGTTTTACCATCACAAACATCAAAAGGAATTTCACGTATTGTTAATACAGTAAGTTTCAATATTGATTCTTAGTTCTTGTTTTTGTATTTTTCTTAATATTTAGTTAAAAGAAGGTGCTGGTGTAACCACAACTCGAGCTCATATTCATTACGTAGTAACTGAATATGGTGTAGTAAATTTATATGGTAAAAATTATCAACAACGAGCTAAAGCATTAATTGATATAGCTCATCCTGATCATCGTGAAACATTAGAACGTGCTGCTTATAAGCGTTTTAAAACTCTTTATTAAATTTTAAAAAGAGATTGAAAAGAGTGATTTAATAGAACAGTATTTTTTTAGATATGATTTTTTTTTAATGAAATTAAATATAAAACCTGAAAAATTCGATTCTATTATAATTGTCAAGATTTTAGTCATAGTGCCGGCTCAATTCATCAAGATTACTAATAGCTTTATCAACATGATTTTGTAATATAGTGCTGAACGTATTCTACATAATAAAATAGCATAGTAGAAATCAATAATTATGTATCTTATTTGTTTATTTGATGATCATCACGAGCCACTCTCTGATTACATGTTCAGCCAAACTATGTACTCCATAATTGAAATGACATGTAAACCGTCAAAAATCGTGATTTTGAAATTTTTATATGATTGGATAGCCCTTGTGGGCTACTTTCGAAAACAGTATTATTTATCAGAATTCTAATGCTTTTTCACGGTTTTACATAAGATTTATTGATCGTGAAATTAGAAAAAATGAATGTTTTGAACATGTTGGTTATTGTTGCCATTTGAAACTTTTCTAAGGTATCACCTAGTGGAGAATCTAGCAGAGATTAATGAAATAATAGGCACTGCAAGCGTCCGAACAACTGAACTCGTGCCCCTGCACCACTTTTCTCAGAAGTGTTCATTTAATTATGTTATTATTTTGATAGTGTTATGTCAGAAGAGATGCCTTCTGATATAACTATGTGTTCTCTTTTCTTTGTTTAGCTTTATTCTTTCACATTTTGTAATTATTCCTTTCTTCTTTCTCATCTTTCGTCTATTTAAACAGCTGCGATTGTTACTGAGGGTATAGGTATAAATGAGTGATATATATACTCGCGCCTCATGTTTTTTTTCTCTTCTTAATACAGATTTTTCGATGCTGCACAAGTCTTCATTTGATCTGTCATAGTCGATAACACATGATGGACTATGATCGATGAGTTCGTCTACTGCTTTACTCAACAGAAACATTGACTTTCAATCGTAAAATTTGTTTGATGTTTCTATTTATTTATTTTTCTACTTGTATGTCCCAGAGTTCTCTGCCTTGGTTTTTTGAAAAAAACTGACACCAAAAATTGATAAAGAAGAATTTGAAAAAGTTATAGCGGCAAGTGTTGACTACATTTTGATGTCAATCCAAGTTCTGTATGATTAGACTTGGAGAGAAAATCTTGAAAATATGGCGATCTACTCTTTTAACTCTTAATGTAGAGCATTAGTTATATCCCATCTAAATAAGTACATACCATTTTGTCACCCACAGTATGTAAATGACTTTATTCACTCAATATCGAACAATACTACCATGACCTTATTATCATTTTTTATTCGTCGACATATGTTTAATATATATTTCTTCTAAGATGAACGAATATTTTTTTGTAATAGATACTCATTGCTATTAGTCGATCAGTAATATAAACCATTGACTATAAATTTATTCAATGATTATTGTATTGAAGATTATCGGCTTGTTCAAAAATAGTTTTAACAAGTACAGAAGACTAAACTATCCAATATGATCAATATCAAAAATATAATTATACCTTTATTAGAATAAATCTCTTAGATAAATTCGTTTATGTCTATTGTCTCAAACACTTTCTTTTGCTTTCATAAAAACAACGAAATAATATACTTACAACCTAATCGATAAATCGATCAAAAAAAGAAAAAGATATTTACCGAAAAGAAAAAACAAAAAGATGAACTCTGTGATGTGTCAATAGATGAATAAAAATAACACCTCAGGCAAAAAGATAACTTATCAATTGTAATAATGTTTTTTTCTTTTCGTTTGATTTTCAGTCAAAACAATGATTATATTTCGAATGATGTACTAAAAGATTGTTTTATAAAGAAATTCAATTTATCAAACATCATTTTTTAGATATAAAAATAAGATATAAATATAAGAAAAACAAACAAACATTTAAATTGATGATAAGAGAACAAAACAAATCGTTATTTTTCTACATTGATAAAAAATAATCATTTTCTAATAGACAAGATCAATAACTTTTTTTATCTTTATAAATTTCCTACAAATATAGCTATCATTTCGTTTTGATTAGTAGGTGGAAAAGTTAAAGTATATTGAATCTGCCAGTGTATATAAGCAATTGAAAGGATAGACTTTTACCCAATGTTTCTAATGGCAAGTGTACACTGCAGAAGCAAAATGTACAAACATCTGCAGCTATGAAAATGCACGCTGCTATACACTTTGCTTAAAAAAGCAGCGTGTATACTTTTCTGGACAATTTTATAATATATCTTAGTTTATACTAGAACTTTTTCTTTTTTTTTGCTCTTTCGCTTCACTTCAGTAATGTAAATGACTGTGTACATTTTGCTGTGCACTTTGCTTATCCAAAACAGCGTGTATTGTACATTTTGTTTTAGAATTCCATTAGAAACACTGCTTTTGCCATGGCTGTATCTTATGATAGAAACAACAAAAATATTTGAAACTTTCAAAATATCCCATTGTTATTAAGACCTATCTCCACGCGAATAAGCTATCTTTCTAGAGTATATATATTTCATTATGATTCACATAGTCTCAACTCAAGTGAATAATCAATTAACGGACTTATCTTTCAATTCAATTTCTCCGAACTACTGAATAGCTCATGTCTTTTGACAAAAACAACAGCTAGTTCTGTGTTATATCGAAAAAAACAATTCTCTTTTGAATAATTCATTCTCCTCATCAACAGATAAACAAAACAACATGAACTACTCATACAAGAAAATTTTCAGAGAAAAAGACTAAGCATCAGAAAAATCATCCCATTCCCTCTAATCATATACATTGCATTCAAATGAACCTATTAATTTTGAATTCAAACAAAAATTAAATACATCTTTATCTCAACATTGAAATATGTATTGCATAATTTCCACAAATCACATATTCTAACATATCCTGTTCAGTTTATCAAAACTTCATTTATCCCGACGGCAAGAAAGAAAGGATTTAAGACATCTCATACAAAATCTACTATAACACAAAATGAAAAGAGACAGAAAAAAAAAATTTCAATATTCATTCCCATCTGAACATTTGTCTCAATAATGGATTCAACAAAGAAAAGGCAAATGAGAGAAAAAAAGAAGTGAATGTGTTGCATTCCTTTTTTTTCTCTTCTCTCTCTCTCTCTTAAAGAAAGAACGAACAGTTGGAAGCAAATTCACATAGAGAGAGACAAAGAGCAGGAGACCATCAGTTTATTCGTCCGATTGTACACAACACAATATACATGCTTCGTCGACGATGGATATCATTCTCTCTCAATAACAAATATAACCGATAGAAGAAAGAAAAGAAATTTTTGACGGCAAACGTACGAAAAAATAAAAAAAAACTATGTTTTATTATTTATATCTTATTTGTTTATTAATAAATTTTATTTCAACACAACAACAACAACAACAACAACGAAATGAATGTTTTCTATTAAATAATAAATTAAATAAATATAATATTAAGATAAATATAGTAGAAAAAAATTTTTCAGGTCTTCTTTTATGTAAAAATCTTATTCATAATTATTGTTGTCCACAAACCTATGAAAATCATATACAAAATGCAACAGCTATTGAACTTTATCATTTATTTGAATTAAATACAATTAATTTATATGAACAATTAATTCGTTTAGCTAATGATTTAAATAGTATGTAATATATATATACTTTTTGCTTTTTATATTTCTTTTGATTTTTATTTAAAAATAGATACAATTATAAAATTAATTGAACTATCTCGTAATGAAACACATCATGTTTTACAACGTGTTTATAATAAACTTTATCAATCATATTATTTATCTATAGATAATTTTTTTAATAATCTTTTAATATTAACTTATCGTACATATCAACATGATATTAAAAAATATACTGATGAATTATTTCGTAATATTTTACATATATCATTAACATTAAATAATAATAAATCAATATTACCAATATATTTTTCATGTTTATGGAAAAATCATCCATTTGGTAGTCATTTAAATTTAATTGAAAATCAATTAGAAATTAATTTAGGTAAAATATTTAAATTAAATGAATTATTTAAATTAAGTCATGAACTTGTTCAAATTTTATCAACGGTATGCTACTTATTTTTATTTTTCTAATCAAAAATAAATCTTTTTATGAGAATATAACGATAGGATTATTCAAACGTATAATTGCCATGACCGCGATGTTATTTTTCTTTTTTTTTTTTTCATGTAACTAAATGCCCGTATCAAATTTGTTCACAAAAATGAGTTGTCTAGGGTATATAAAAATGTATATTTATTGATATCAATTATCTGAGTGATCTCATTTATTATTCATATTGTCATGTATATATAAACATGACAAGGGTGAGAAAAGTCATTATAGTATTCGATCTAGATATGTTTAATGTTTTTTTTATTATTGAAAGAAATTAAATAAACAGTTTGAATCTTTATTTGTATAAACAAGCAAAAAAAAATCGATTTGTTATGAATAACTTAAAGAAAATGAAATTTTAAAGTGTTATTTTCACACACATTTTTTTTTTGTTCTGTTAAGAGTGTTACAACGGATTATCATTGCATTGATTCATATATGCAATTATCATATTGTAATTTATGTAGTGGGCGAAATGAATTACCATGTTTATCTAATTGTATGAATGTCATTGAAAGTTGTCTTGTTAATATAACATTAATTGATGATATATGGAAAAATTTTATTGGTAAATAATTTGTTAATAATATTATTTTTGTTTTTTTTTGTCATGGAATTTTCTTTTAAAGATGCTATTGAGAATATTGCTTATTTTAATAATATTGAAAAAGTTTTATCATCAATTGGTTTATCAATATCAGATGCTGTTATGACCTTTTTTAATTCGGGTGGAGTTGAAAATAAGAATGTATGTATTAATAGACAAAAAAAAACTTCTATTTTTATTCTATAGTATATATTTATATATAAAGATCATCGATCAATGTGGACATATACGTATTCGACGTCAAACATTTTCTATCGATCAAAAATTTGATGATGAATATAGTAAAACATTATCATTATCTGTGTTAGATCAACAACTAATTCATATGAGTCAATCATTACATACATATCGATTATTTTGGATGAAATTACCTGAACAAATTTGTAAATCAAAAGGAATTTCAGAATTAAATGAACGAATATGTTGGACAGGAACTTCAATATCTCAACATGGAAAGTATGAAAAATTTAAGAATGAAGTTTTTTTTTTTTTTTTTATTCAAATTTTATTTGTTTAGATCTTCTATTCCATTACATTATGATAAACCATTAAATTTAAAATTACAATGGATTTTAAAAGAAATGAAACAAAAAACACAAACAATTGGAAATATACATCAAATTACGTCAGGTATTCTATAAAGAATAAGAAAAAAAGAAAAAATTGATGAAAATCAGTCAGTGACTTGTAAAGAATGTTACATAAGTTGATTTTACCGATCGATTAGTTATGAGTATAATAAAGTAATCGGAATTAGATATTCTACATTTCTCTTAGGTATTCGAATATTAAAAACAACACCTTGGTTTTGAGTCCTAGATATTACATAATTATCATGAGAGTCATCAAAATCATATAACAATTGATCTGCATTTGAATTCAAGGTATAATATGTAATTTTTTGTTTTTTTTTTGTATGTAGTACTCAATATTAATTCAACACCAAGTTCATCAATAGTAAATGAATCAAAAATAGATATTATTATTCAAAATTTTACAGATACATTAAGACCAACTGATTTTGATGATTATCCTAATGATAATGAATTTGATTATTCGGATTATGCATATGAAGATTTCACAGATGATATAACTACAACAACAACAACTCGTCGAAAAACAACAACAACAACAATAACTACAACAACAACAGTAACAACAACAACGACAACACCAACTACAACTACTCCTATTGATGATTATATAGTATTTGATGATGATAAAAATACTGCATATTATGATTATGGTGATCATGAATTATATAGTGATGACGAATCAGATGAACTCTCAACTACTGAACAACCAATTTTAATAACAACAACAAAACGAATAACAACAACAACATTTAATTGGAAAGATCGAATACCATTCTATCATCGAAAACCTCCTATTATTTGGAATGTCAATCGAGATAATAATGATGAAGAAAAATTAGAAAAACAAGAACAGCAATATAACAGTGGTTATTCTCATCATTATTCTCTACTGTTATTACTAACTATGTTCATTACTCGATTCTGACGTAATATTCGACCCGTTGTTTTGTTTTTCTTTATTTTTGTATATCTTTAAAAAAAAAATGTATCGTGTTTATTATGATTACATGACTGATAATGATACAGTATGACAAATAATATAATCATACTCATCAATCATATACATATATATATATATATGAGAAAGTTTATTTTATTGTATGATGTCATATATCCACGAGCAATTCGAAACATTATCATTTGATGATATATAAAGAATAAGAACATGAACAAGAAAAATGACAATCAATGTTTAGACGATTAGTATCTGAATTATGTTAGGAAGATAATCGATATTGAAACAAATAATGTAATAATGATATTGATTTTTAAATAACAAGGAGATACTAAAAATAAAAAAAGAATTTTTTAAAAAAATTATGAATATCATTGATTTATGGTTTATATTCAATATAGAATTGCTGTTTGAAAGTTCATGAAATCAGATTTTGTTTTTATATTGATAATTAAATCAGATATCAACGTTTTATATATAAAATGGAGAAGATAATCGAGTTGTGTTTATTTTTTGGAACCGAACTGATCTAACAGTGGCAAGAAAATAAATGAGTCTTTCACGAGGAATTGGTTTCAATTGATCAATCGCTTTTGGCGTTTTTTATTTCTCATCAGTATGGGACTGAGCTTTTTTTTTTCTAAAAGATACACTATAAAATTGTTTACAAAATCCTAGGAAAACATCTTATAAAAGCATGTTAGCGCAGGCCCTTTGAGACTAAAATGTGGAACTCACATGTCGCATTTAGTTTCATTATACTAATATAAAATACGCAAAGTGTAAAATCTGTAAAAGACCATAGTTCTTTTCCAATGATAACCCATTGCCAACCAACGCTATGTCTTTTTTGCTTTATTTCCTTCTGATAATTTATTATTATATAGTATTAATGGACGAATAAACTGGTTGTACACATTCATTATATCTACAGGAGATCTTAATAATCTATTATGTAACTTGATGAGCTCAAATTGATTATATCCGTAAGTTAGAACGTAATCAGTTAATGCTTTTTTGTTGGTCATATGATAGTAATGCGAAATTAAAACATGATCCTTAATATCTTGAATATAATCGTTTATTTGCAAAAAAATCAGAAATTGCCTTATTTAGAATATTGAAAAATGTATTTCAGCCATTTAAATTTCAAGGAAAGCTCTGCCAGAATCTTCTAAGCCTTGTTATTAATGTCATTCAGAGCCTTTAATCCCGGTTGCTAAGATCTGTCAAGGAGGGAGCGTAAGAATCTCGTTTTAAACTTCCATTTACTATTTTATTACTAATAACCTTTGAATCATGAATTGCCAACATGATTTTTTTTTTGTTTCTTGTGACTAATAAACAATTGTTAAGATGCTTCAAAGCACAATAAAATGTACTTGACCTAATGTCATATACGAAAGATAAAAAAGTACGCAACAAGAAGGTAACTTTTGTCTTGAATAAATCATGTGATCGAGAACATGAAATTGCGAGGTGGAAAGATCTATTTTTCTCATTAATCTAGGAAAAAACGAATGTGCATTTTGCATGAAAGACGTTTGTTGAACATCGGGATCAGGATTGCCGATATTTTTTAGAGGAAGGTGGGGAAAGGGAAAACTTGGCAAATAGTTCGAAAATTCTTTGAGAAAGTGCTTTCATCCTGGAAGTGCTGATTAGAAGATGTTCCTGTTCACCCCGCAATGACATTCTCTGTCAGAGAATGGCAAATATTGTTTTAAAATCCAGTTTGTATCCAAGGTTATCAGGAAGTTGTATCAAGAATTTTAGTAGAAAGTCGAAAATTTTGAGATATAACCACGATCCAGAAGTTGGCAATTCAAGAAATTCTAGAAATTCAAGCAGTTGAACAATGTCATATAACATACTGATTTATAAGCTTCAACCACGATGGAATTCAAAAAATGCAAGAAATTCAAGCAATTCGACAATGACATATAACCTAGTCAGTTATAAGGTTAGACTTATAGCTCACTATCTTATGAGTCTCTGTTAAATTGTTTGGATTTCTAGAATTTCCTTGAATTGACAATTTTTGGATCGTGGTTACTGCTGAAAATTTTTGGCAGAAACTTCCCTAAGTGAGAATCATCCTGATCAGGACACAAAAATACGAAAAAAACCAATTTTATGCTTGAAAGATGTTGGTAATGCATAGGAACAATAATTGTCGAACAAGCTCTGTATTTCTATTTTTTTTAAAAGATGCTTTCCTATGATGTTGTAGACAATTTCGTTTTGCATCCTTTGAAAAAATAGTACAGTCCGAAACGATATGAAACAGTAAAAGATATTGAGAGGCTCATTTAATCTGCCACACCTATTAGTTTTATAAAAAGTTCGAATCGAACTGATCGTATCTCTGATATAAAAGGATAAATAGAAATGAAAAGTTCAAGATTTTCTATACAATAAAATGCTCAAAGTCTCTTTTTTCTTTTGTTGTCAATAAAGAGATGCTCATGATAATAATGATATATTTTTAATTTAAATAATTATTATCCGTGTCAAAAAAAGAAGAAGAATCGTGAATGTTTTTTGAATAACTTTCGATAGAAAAAAAAGATATTAACCTGCGATTATCACTCGTGGAAAGTGAATATAATGATGGATTAAATCGTATATTACAACATTTTGAAAATAAATGTATTGCGCTCAGTCATCAAGATGAATTTTTGGATTTTCATAAGTACATTAGAACTACGAATCAAAGGCCTACAAAACTGTATAAACCCTAGATTTTTTCTTTAGTCATTTAAAAGTTATCGATATTTTACCATAAACTTTGACCCGATTTTTCGAGGAAATTTGCTTTGCCAATCAATCACAAAAACTCGATTTTGTTGAAGATATTGAATAAAATCCCTGACAAACCTGGAAGACAACTCGATAATATACGATTCAATGCATCGTCATATCCACTTTCTAATGATGAAAACCACAGCTCCCTATTGTAACGACAAACTGGATTGAGTAGCTTACTGCTACTCTCGAAAATTATATTTATTTAGCTACTCCATATACAACACATGCTTATATGAGAGAGAGAGATGAGCACAGAAAAGAACAATCGAGACAAGGTGGAAAGGAAAGAAAGATCAGCGGGAGGTCATATCAATATCGGGACACCTTTCTTGTTCCTATCGAAAGTTATTCAAAAAAATACTCCAGATATTCTTCTTTTTTGAAATGGATAAGAAATATGAAAATGAAGATGACTAATAAACTATCAGTACGATACAACTGAATATATTTATTTTTAGCAAACATATTTAAATTTGTGAAATGTTTTAAAGACTTGTTCTTCTTAAGCGAATAACTTATCAGATTATCGTTTATCCAGTAAATACAATATTGCTTTAATCTTAAGATATATCTATGATAAAAGCACGTTTTTCATGCCCCTTATATACAACGGCAAATTTCCATGTTCTTATTTCAGAATAGATGCAAGCAAAAAATTTGAAATTTTCACAATTAGCTATGTTGACTAAGGTCTGTCTCTATGCAAAGTTTCAATTCAAAATTCGAAACTTAGTTTTTTGAGAAGGGCCACAATACTCTGCTAAAAATACAGTATTTCAGCAGTAATAAGCTATTAGCTTGAACTCGTTTCAAGGTATTCATAGTTTATTAGAACCTAACTTGATGCACATAGTTCCGACTCAAAAGTGACATGACACTTAGAAACGTTCCATTGTAAGTTGAATTCAAAGCGCCTCAAAAATTTCAATTGAGAATATATTTTACTGAAAAAGAAAGCCATTTCTCTGTGATTTTGCGAGACTATCTCTCTTAACTGTTCTCGGTGCTGAACAGAAGTGATGCTGTTCTTGCAATAGTAATTCTTTTAGCATAAGATCATTTGACAAGTAGAATAAGTTTGAATAGGTTAATCGCTTTTTCATAATAAAAAAAGATACCATTGCATGATGTGTCCTATAACGACAATCTATTATTATATATAATAAAATACTAAGGATGTATTATGACCTAACATAATCATTTATAGCTATCATTAAACACTTATCATCATGTTCAACATATAAGAGCTTGTAAATTATATTTTTACTTTAAAAATAGAGAGTATTCTAGTTGCAAATATTTCCTAGTTTTTAACTAATTGAGTTGTCATTTATCATGCATACTTTGACGAATCACATAATATAACTAGTTTTTTTTCTTCTTCTTTCTATTAAGATGAAATGGTGTAGTGCATGACGAGAATTTCCGTAATAAGACGTGAGAAGCATTAATTTACAACTAATCATTTGCTATCAACGAAATTGAACAATGTCATGGTATGAGAAAATTAATTTTCTATTTCTAAGATGATGTGTAAATACTGTGTTAAACTAATCTTAAAGAATAGGAACAGCATACCTTTTAGTTTTATTATAATGGAAAGTATTTTTAAAAAAATGTCCTTAAGTTATTTCAAAACCAGTGAGAGAATGTTTAAGACAACGTTCTTGATGTCTAAATGAGAATAAATGTACTTTAAAAAAAACGGAGAACAGAGAAGAAGTGCATCCATGAAAATTTTTGCAATAAAACTATCCGATAGCGCCCTCTGTATCATTGAAAATTTGATTTGATTTTAAATAAAATGATATTTATTTAATAATGATAATGTTTTATTTTATTTTAATTAATTAATTCTTATCTTCATCATTTAGAAGAAAAATGAATCGAGTCTATTGTTATGGTGATATTCGCATCCATCATTTCTTTTTTTCTCAATGGTGTTTTTTTTTGTATTTCTTTGTCTTACAATTCTTTACTACTGACTCGTACTCAATGATTGCGTGAGAAAAGCTCTCTCGTTTTCTTCTTATTTTTTTTTTTTTTGATTCCCTACTTTTCTCTTTTCTGTCTTTTCTCTCTCTCTCTCTCTCTATGTGTCTTACTTGCGGTTTATTTCGTCTGATTTATACCTCATACATCTTAGAAGAAAAGACATTGAGAGGTATCTATTAAATAAAATTTTATTTATTATAGATCAATGGAACCATTGTTGATTGTACAAACATATGCAAGCGTAATTGTGGGTGTGTAGCTCATTAATAAATCACAAAAAATGCGGTCTGGCATCGTGCCCATGTTTTCCCATGACGAAAAAATTAGTGTAAGTTATTTTTTGAAATTTTTCTCGCTTTTTTTTCTCTTTGCTATTTCATTTAACTGAATTTATATTTGCAATACACATCCATCCATCCCTTTTCCTTCCAGACAAACGAAAGAAGTGTGAACTTTGGCTCGAAGAATGAGCATATGTGTAAACGAAATTCGAGATATTTGTGTTTGTATGCGTAATGATGTGGTAGTGGTGATAGTGTCGGTGGTTTTGCTTTCTCTTTCTTTCTACCGACACTCAATTCAAGTGTCCATCACTAGGAGAACAAACGAAATTTCTTTCTTTTTTTTCGATTTATAACTACACATCGAGGTCTTCTTACTACTCTTGTATACATATAAGAGTAGTTAGTTGATAAGATGACGTAAAAATTCTTCGAAGAACAAGAAAAGGTTTCGTTCAAGATTGAACACGCACGAACAAGCTAAGTTGTTGGCGTGACTACATCGATAATAGAGAACAATAAAAAAGAAAAGACTAATACTACAATTCTTTTTTTTTTTTTATAACTTGTTCTTCATTTTAACGATCCTATTTCAATGGTCAACTCATGTATGTATGTATGTATGTAAAGCAATAATTATTATCAGGAATCGAGATTTCCTTCTTTTTTTTTTTATTTCTTTGACTGTACAGAGAGAGAGAGAGAGAGAGGGAGAGGGAAAAAGAAATTTTCATCTCCTCTTACACATTATATGTGCGTGTTTGAGTACGTATGTGGTTTGATTTGTTGAGTATCAATTATTCAAAGCTTACATACCGTACAAAGCAAATTCTTTGTATTGAATAACTAGTAGACAAAGACGAAGAAAAATTAAATTAGAATAGACTAAAATGACCATAAACAAATCTTGAAAATGAAATACATATGTGTACATCATTGAATATCTCTTGATCAAAAAAAAAAAAATTCGTCTGTTTGCTTTTTTTTTCTTTCTGGTATAGATTAAAAAAAAAACTACATAGAATTGTGAACTAATTTCAATACCATTTGCATGGTATTTAGATAAAGAAAAATAATATTTAAATGATATATTACTAAAATAAATTTTCATAATTACTTTTAAATAAACTGTAAAATAAAATATAGAACATCACTATGTTGAAAAAGAAAAAAAAAAGTTGTTTGCAAAGTCATTATGTTGAGTACATTGCATCTTATTTCGGTTAAAAAAAAAATCTAAACTCAATCAAGAATATATACTCGTCATAAAGAAAGAAAAATTCATTATAATGTACAATCAACTTGCAAGGACATAGTCTCGACATTATTATAGATTTTATTTTATAAAATATTTAAATAATACATAGAATTCATAGTTTATTAAAATTCTAAATTTCGAAAAAATATTGATTATCATGTCGACTATCGAAGTTTGTCATTATTAACTTTTTTTTTTTTCGTTTACTATTTTGAAAGTCAGCACTAGAATTTATAGTTCAATAAACTGATTCTATTCATAGGCATAACTCCGGAGTTAACATCTCTCTTTAGATTATCTTCTATCTAGGTTATAAATCATACACATCAATAAATATGTCTTGTCATCTGAATCAATTGATTCAATTTGATTTACTCGAAAAGTTTATTCCACTTGACATATTTTATCTTTTTTTATCGACCCCTATACACAAAATAAAATCTGAATGCAAAAGGAAATGACTGTGTAATGCATGAATAAGATTCTATAGATGAAATATCCATTAAAAAAATAATAAATATTATTTTAGCACTATGAAGTATCTCGTATGCTTGGTAAAGGCGGTTTTGCAACTGTACATGTCGCACGTCGTAAATCCGATGATCTTCTTGTGGCATGTAAGATGGTAAGTATAATTATTAATAAATTTAAAAGAAGAAAAAGAAGAAAAATTCTTATTTATTATATTAAATATAGATTGATAGGAAAAAACTTGAACAAGAAAATAATCATAATTTTCCATCATATCAAAATCATCGTCATCCAATACCTAGTTCACGTTCAACATCAATGCTCGATAGATTGAATGCTGAAATAACAATACATCATCAAGTTAAACATCCAAATATAGTTGAATTATTAAATTGTTTTTGTGATGATAAATATGTTTATTTAATACTTGAACTATGTTCAAATGGTGATCTTGAACATTATTTACAAGAAAAAAAAACACTTAGTGAACATGAAAGTATGAGAGGAGAAAAAAAAACAACAAAAACGAATCTTATATTAATAATGAATATTTTGTTTTTATTATTTTAAGCTCGTAATATTACGAAACAAGTTGTTGATGGTCTTGTCTATTTACATAGTCATGGAATTTTACATCGTGATATTAAACTTTCAAATTTACTTTTAACTGAGACATATGATGTGGTATGTTAAACTTAGTATAAGAGTCATTCTATATAAGTCACGAGAGATTTTGCTCAATCGATTTAACTAGTTTTTATATATGTTATAGGGGTGAGTGTTTGATGAACTTCTACGCAAACTGTTTGAAAACAATATTATTTCGTTCTTGAGATATTTAAATTTTTCTGAGCAATCTGTTTGACTTGAAATTTTCGGTGTGAATACATCTGAGGTTTGGGTACTTAGTATGAAAAAGTGAGCTCAAATGGATGAACTATTGATGAATTGACCAATACAATATTAAATAGACGAAAAAATTGTCATTTTTTTTTTGGTACTTTGTGAGTATACATATTTCATGAGTGGATCACATTAAACAGTTGAAATTTTGATCAGAGAGAGAGAGACTTTATTGAATACTCAATTTGGTAAAAATTTCAGCGTTCTAGATAGTTCCTATGACTCAGGGGGTCTTCACCAAAATGATGATTGTGCTCAAAATCACGATTTTGCTAGAGACTGATCTAGAGGAAAATCTACCCCATAGAAGTCCAAGTTGTATAGTTTTAAAATACACACTGAATACTACAAAGTTCTGCAAAAATCAGCCTGGAACGTTGTAGAATAACCTGCAGAGTCTTATCAAAAGAGAAACTTCACAATGGTTCCTTTTCCCTGTTCAATATACTCAAATCGTTCAGAAATTTTCCTATTAAGGTCTGAATGATTTGAGTATATTAAGCATGAAAAAGTAGCCATTTTGAAACTTCTGTTTTGATAAGGCTCCGCAGGTTATTCTACGACGTTCCAGATCAATCCTTGCAGTACTTAGTGTTTCGTTTGAAAGTATATAACTCGAAGTTCCATACACTAGATTTTTCTTTAGATCGATCGTCTCTGTAAAAATCATAATTTTGACGAAGGAAATCTTCAGAGACTTAACAAATCAAAAAACATTTGCATTAAAATAATAAAACAGACATAAAAATTGATTGATTAAAATGTACATTTTCATTCCATTTGTTTGATTAAAATGTTCATTTTAATCAATAATATTTGAAATACATCAATTATGTCCGTTTCATTGTCGAATATGCCATTTTTTTTTCGTGTTTATGATATCAAATTCATGATCGAAAAATGACAATTTTTTCGCCTCCTTGATATTGCATTGGTTAACTCATCAATAGTTAATTCATTTGAGATTATTCTTTTTGCTTTATGGTAAATATTCGAGCCTCAGATATATTCACACTGAAGATTTCAAGCCAAATAGATTTATTTGTGATGAGATATAGGTGTCACAAATAATGTGCACAGAAAAATTTAAATATCTCAAGCACGAAATAAAACTTTTTTGTCGAACAGCCTGCTTAGAAGTTCACCAAACACTTCTCCCCTATAACATATATAAAAACTAATCAAATCCGTGACTTATGTAAAATGACTCATACAAAAAAAAAAGTAAAAGATACAAAAATATGAAATTAAATAGAAAATTGCGGATTTTGGTTTGGCAAAAAAATTACCATTAACACGTGAACAAACAAATGAAACAATGTGTGGAACACCAAATTATATATCTCCGTAAATGAATATTTTTCTTTTTTCTAATTTCCGAAAATTATTTCTCATTTCTCTAGAGAAATCGCAAGTCGAAATCCGCATAGTTTTGCAACGGATGTATGGTCATTAGGTATTCTTATTGTTACACTATTAACAGGACGTCCACCATTTGATACTGATAGTATGTATTGTCTTTAGTTTTGTTTTTTAATTAATAGAAAAATAAAAAATGAATGATTTGTTATTGTTTTAAGCTGTTCATGGAACATTAAGTAAAGTTACACAAGAAAAATATGAATTACCAACAACATTTAGTGAAGAAGCTCAAGATCTTGTGAATAGTACATTAAGAAAAACACCAGAACATCGACCGACAATTATGGGTTTGTTGAATTTTTTTAATTAAAAATTGAAATTAATTTTGGATTTGTATTTAGAAATTCGTGATCATCCTTTTTTTTCAAAAGATTATTCACGTTCATCACATTCGTATAACGAATCTAATAGTTATCAAAAATTATCATTAGTAAGATTAAAAAGAAATAGATTTTATTTTTGAATTAAATTTATTTTTATGTATTTAGTTAGGTCCAAATGCATCTGTTGATAGTGGTCTTGGCGTATCTATGGGACGACAACGATCTGTATTGAACAGTACTTCGGTAACAAATACAAATTATGCAGCTCATCAATATTCGTAAGTTTACAAATAAATTCAAAATTTAATATATAAAAGCAAATTAATTTAATTTGAATTCAATTTCGTATAGTTAAGAAGAATTCGAACTATTATAGATGTCTGAATATCAGATAAGTTGATGTTTTTCAAATAACTTTTGATAGGAACAAGAGAGAATTTCACTAATTGAAAGAGAAATGATTTAGTTACACAAAATCATGTTAAAATTTATTGGTCAGTAATTGATTAGTTAAGTGAATTCCTAATAAACATTTTTGAAAACGACATTCTGAAGATATTTTTCATTGGGTTTTGACTTACACTACGATTGTTCGATAGAGGAAATCGTTCAGGTAAGGCTGATATTTCTAGCTTGTTCTATTTGAAAGTTATAAAGATTTTCTACAGACTGCGAATTTCAGCAAATTTATCCTGAATCGCCTAAAGCATGATCTTAATCGGAACAATTGACCAAGATCAACCAAATGGTAATATCTATTTTCGCTTTCAAAAAGATCTAAATCCCATAATAGCAACATTTTCGAAATATCGACTGTTTAGACTCTGTTGAGGACAAATTCGACATTCGAAAAATCCAAAGAGAAAACGACGTACTCTGATACTTTCAGAGTACACGGAGTCCAGTGGACTACACAGTCCAACGAGAATAAACCAAGGGAAAAACGGCGTAGTATAGCACTTCCCTACTTCGCGAACTCTGGAAGTACAATAGTAGTCCAGCAAGTACCAGAGTACCTCGTTTTCCTATGTACTTCTTGTACTCCCGGAGTCCAGGAGTACGTCGTTTTTCCCTTGGAAAAATCTCATTGTCGTCGCTTTAGATCTCTTTGAAAGTGAAAATAAACAGTGTCACTTGATTGATCTCGGTCAATAATTCCTATGAAGAACTGTTTTTAGGTGATCCAAGATAAAATTGTTGAAATTAGAAGTCTCTAGAAAACTTTTATAACTATCGAACAGAATAATGTGGAGATGCCAGTCTTGTGTAGATCGAACGAATATAATTTTCTCTATCAAACAGTCATATTTCAAGTCAAAATCCTTGATCGGTCAATTACTAACCAATCAAATTCGACATGATTTTATAGCTAAGGCATTTCTTTTTCAATTAATGAAAACCTCAGATTTCTATCTTGTTCTTATGAAAGTTTATTTGAAAAACATCAACCTTATATTCTGACGTCTGTAGTAGTCGTGAAATTTACTTTCACGATGAATGACTCTATATAATGAATCTCATAGAGAGCCAACCAATTATAAAATCATATTGTTTTTTTTTTCCTTCAGATCGGATCCAATATCTTCTCCAACTCCATCACATCATGCTACACCAATTTATATGAATACAAGTATACGTAATAAAATTCCACATGATATTTTTGTATATCCTGTTTTAACTTCTACACTTGCTCAACAACAACAACCTATTCATGGACGACAAAGGTATTGTTTTTTTTTGTATTCAAAAAAACCCATAAAAACAAACAAAATTTTAAATTCATATAAATCTTTTAGTCCATCATTTGATATTCATTCAAATCTAAACGATTGGCTTAGTAATGGTTCACATAATGTAAATGATCCTCGTCCAGATAGTGCTACATCATCAGTCTTATCTCGAGATAGTGGTGTTGCACGATCTGATCCAAAATCTTCACGTGATTTTAGTGCAAAATCTGAATCAAGTTCTAAAGCATCCCTTCATAATAATAATAATAGTAATCATTTTATGTCTAATAATTATCCATCAACATTAGTACGTAATGGATTACCATCATTATCATCTTCAAATACAATTCAACGTTTATTACAACAACAACATCAACAACAACAACAACAACAACAACAAACAATATCAAATTTTGATACAAATACTGAACAAATACGTGAAAAACTTCAACCATTAAATACACAACGATTAAAAACACTTCGTCAAGCAACAAAATCATTTATTGTAAGTTTAAAAAAAAAGAAAAGAGAAACATAAATCATTTAGATTAAATTTTTAAATTAGATGAGTATTATGGATAATGGTGAAGTTGTACTTGAAACAATGAGAACAAAAGGTACGAAACGACGTATTGTTGATGTATTTCGTGTATCAAGTGATGGTTTACGTATAATAACATATACACCAAATAGTCGTCATGGTTCACCTATTGGTGATCATCCACCACCAATACCACGTGATAAAAATGCTTATCACGAATATGAATTTGATAAATTACCACCGGAATATTGGAAAAAATATCAATATGCACATAAGTAATTCAAAAACAAATTCTTATTTTTTCTCATCATTTAATTTGTTTTCCTTTTTAAAGATTTGTCACATTAGTTCGTTCACGTATGGGAAAAATAATTCTTTATACACCTGAAGCAAAATGTTCATTGATGGAAACTGGTGTTGATTTTGAAGTTGTTTTTATATGTGGTGTTAAAATCTCAATATATCGAGAAAATTTTAAATATGATGATCCATTAAAAATTAAAATTAGTAATAATATTGATAAATCTGAATCATCATTAGATTTTGATCGTATTGCAACACGAAATATATCTGCTGTTGAACATTTTAGTCCTGAAATACGTCAAATGCTTGATAATGCAATTACGGTATGTTTAAATAAAATCGATAAAGAAAAAAAATATTTTGGTTTTTTTTTTAGTTTTATTCATTTTGTTTATCAAAAGATCAAATACTTGAAGAAAATCAACGACAATTTCCTTCTATTCAAGCTTTTCCAGTTCAATTCGGAAAGAAACATGCTCAACAATCGGATGCTAATAGACCAGGTAGAATTTTTTCGATCTAGTAAAGTCATCTTTCAAAGAATTGGATATAGTCATTTAAAAAATTAACATATATTCTTTAGCATAATTATACTAGTTCAAAATATCCGGATGAGGTAATTATCCCAGGTGACACTCACCATCTGAGCTTATATTGAACTTACATGTAGATCTCAGTGAGAATAGCAAAAGCCTAAAAGGATTCGTTTCCATTGGCCTTTGGCGCCAAGTTATGATTGGTATATTAGATTTTTGATCCATTTTTAGGTACTCCCAGGAAGACCGAATAACAAAGTTTTGATCCAGAATTTTTGCCTGTAGATAACTCTAACATCTTTTAGAATATTCTTTTGTCAAGTTATTGGATTTTCAAGTAAACTCAATTTTTGTGACAAGCCACCGTTTTTTTTTGGGAAATGTAATATCTTGACGGATGAACATTCTTTTCAGTTAAAACTTTCAAGATATTCTAAGAGTCATTAGGTCTATCTATAGACAAAACTTTACATGGAAATTATATTGCTTGATTTTTTTAAAGAAATGTCTACAAATGAATCGAAAATATACTAAACCGATCATAACTCGGCAACAAATCCTTTTAAGTCTTTGCTATTCTTACTGAGATCTACCTATGGATCCAATATAAGTTCAAATGAAGTGTGTCACTTGAGATAGTTCCCTTGTAAATGAAAAATCTCTCGCAGACTGACTCTAGTTGCTTTCCAAGGATAGTCGACCACCAGAAAAATTATCTGTTTTAGTTAGTTCTGCATTTCGAATTGAAACCTTTTGTTTGTCTCGTTGTTTTTCATTTTCGCATGTTATCCTATCTGCAACGACAGATCTCATTGCATTATTATTTTACATCTCAATAAGCTTGGAAAGATTGATATTGATTATTTAAGAAGTTCGACGCCGATTATCCTTAGTTACTATGAAAAAGTGTCCGATGATCATTAATCTCTCTCTCCTTCCCGGTTGTTAGAGCTTAGAAAGGCGAGAGTCGTAAAAACCTCGATTTAAACTTACACTCACTATTTTCTTCGTAAGACATGATTTGATAGTCTACAGTTTATGCAATTTATATCAAATAACTATTAATGAGTAGGTTAGTTTAAACAAGTATTTCCGACTTTCAGAACTTCGTGCCCAGAGCTCGTATAACAATTGCAAGGTTGAAGGTGGATGTGTTGATGTCAGTATGAATTACATACATCATACGTCTGTGTTTATATTAGTTTAAATTATGTTCTTTTGCAGAAAATATTCCAAAAAGTTGTTTTACATTTTTCTTAGAACATGTCTCCAGCGACTTTCTATTACAGTAGAAAATAAAATCAAGTACTTTTTTCTTTTTGAGTTTGAAAGTTCGTGTTTATAGCTAACAACTCTCATAACTCTTTTTCAAAATAGGACACTAATCGAAGAAAAGAAAACTAACTTTTTCAATTGAGAAGACCAAATATCGCTAGAGATGTCAGGACTACAAAATGGGTATTAGACATAAACTAAAATTGTCCTTGCTCCTATTAAGAAAGAGATATAAAGCTGAACATTTTTTTCTATGTACACCTATATACCATTAATATATCAAATAAATAATGGTTTTTTTTTTAATAAAAAAAAGGTTCTGCTTGTTCAATTGGTCGTTCTCTTTCTCAACAATTCGGCGGTTCATCATCAACCGTCAATGAACTATGTATTGCACCTCCAACATCCGTAGGTACACCATTATCAATGACATCTACTCGACGCATATTTGCATCTGATACGGATGTTCGAGGAGTAAGAAATTCATCATCAGTAACTCCAATGTGTTCAAATGCAAGCATAGCTAATACTAATGTTCATCATTCAACATCATCATCAACATTACGTACAACTGGTTATCATCATCCAGTAACTTATACACCACAAGCATCCATATCTCGTCCACTTTCTATTCATCCTCAACAAATATCTTCACCATTATATGCACCAGAAAATTTATCTTCATCATCTCTATCGAATCGTCAAACAACAACAAATATGAATCATAATTATACTTCTTCAACATCATTAAATTCTACAGCAAGTGGTGGAACAATAACAACAACTACTAATCCTGGTTTAGTTCCAACGAATTCATTATCAATTAAATCTATTGATCCATTATTAAAAGGAACTTATCGTGTTACATTTAGTGATAATAGTACGATGATACTTCGAGCTGATTGTACTGATGGACAAATGTTTATTGATACACAAGGTAAACGTTATTTATTTGATCGAAGACAACAACATCAACCAGAAGCAATTCAAGAGCGCTTAGCACTCATGCATCAAGATCATCCAACAGATGTTGAATATACTACATCTCAACAACAACAGCAACAACAATGAAATATTTTACAAACATATTTTGTTTTTATTTCTTTCTTTTGCTAAAAAGCAAATATGTTATTATTATTATTATTATTATTTTTTCTCTTTTTCAACTTTTTTCACTCTTAATAATAGCAAATGTTCTGTTTTTTTTTTGTTTTTTTTCCATTATTTGAATACACATGCACACGATACAGAACAAAATTATCGTTCATATGCAACTATTGAAATTTAATGAGTAGCACATGTATTTTTAGCACACTTCTGCTTTGTGTGAAATTGAGCTAGAATAGAAGATTGTTTTTTTTCCTCCCAAAATTTGCATCTTTCTCGCTGTTTTTATGCTTTGTTTCGTTTTCTTTTTTAAATATTATTATTATTTTTTTTCTTTGGTTTGCTCGTGTTCGCTTTGATCTTGTCGGTTTTTCTTCCACAAAAAAACTTTACACATAATATCCGTCCGTTTATATATGTTTTTGTTTTGATTTGTTATTATTATTATTTTTTTTTCTTTTCTTCTATTTTGCAGTGTTGTTGTTTGTTTGATATGATTTTTCAATGAAAAACAAAGAAAGTCAAAAAAAAACCTGTAATGAATTGTACAATTGAAATCAAGAAAAAAAACTGTTAGCGCAATTCTTGCGGGATTAAAACTTGTAACACGACGTAGCTGCTGTTACTAATCATAGGAAGATTGTTCTATTCTATCAATATTCAGACACATTTCTTTACTATCGTTGTGCTTAGTCCTCCATAAATGTAGTAAGGAAATAGTTCATATGTTATGATAAAACGTTATTGACATATGACTTTTGATTGTATACCAATAGCACCTCTCCCGATCTGTGCCGGTGAGGGAGTAGATGCGTCCAAGTTTCTGTCTCTATGCTTCAACACTCCCTTTAGATCGTGTTTTACAAAACAAGGAAGAAGATTTCTTCGAGTATAACGGACGGATGATCATAAATGAGATACTTTTATTTTTGCGTTTTATGAAAACCTAAAGCACAGTTCCAAGAGATCATTCTAAGTTCATTCGATAGAGAAGTTTTTGCTATAGAAACTGTGAGCTTACTTTTTCAAATAACTTTTACTTGTGGACGGAAAATTGGAAAGACTGTCAGCTATTTGATAGTTTAACTGCAGCCTACTGTTATTTTCTGTGGACATCTAATGATTTGTTCAAATTTGCATTTATCAAGTCCGACACTAAATGTAAAGTATTTAACATCAGTTGTTAGAGAATTTTATGCTCTACGCTTCCAAGATCTCTTCAAGGCTCCGAAATAGTGTTATTCATGAGCAAAAAGCTTGGAATTAAAGCTTGGTCGTAGTTCTTTTGAACGTACTTCCGGAATGCGTGTTCTCAAAAGTAAGATATGGTCTATGAAAGCTTCACTATTATAATATGAATAGGTGGTTAAATGTCGAAAGGGAAAACGTCGAAAGACAAAATGTAGAAAAACATGACGTAGAAAAGCAGATTGTAGAAAAAAAAAATGTCGAAAGTGAAAATGTCGAAAGAAAAATGGCGAAAATGAAAATGTCGAAAGGTAAAAATGTCGAAAAGCGTATTGACGAAAAATAAAACGTCGAAAGAAAAAATGGCGAAAAGGGAAAAATGAAATAAAGAGACGTCCATGACGTCTTCAAATAAATTTCTATCAACTGACGATGCATTGTCTCGCTAAGAGAATCTAACGATATTGATTAATTATTGAGTTGTATATATATATAGCAGCTCGCGTTCATTTCTACAGACATTTATCAAGTTGTTTTCTATATTTTTTACTTATGTCAACATGAGTAATACACCTATCATAACTTTTTCACAAAGTAACAAAGGCAAACGTGTGGTTATTTGCGATGGATTTATATATCAGTTAAACAAGTCATGTCCCAAGGTTAAATATATATCCTAATATTTGGCATTTTATTGATGTACTCAAGAAAGAAGAAGTTCATTTTCAACAGCAACTTCTTCATGCTAAAAGCGATTTGCTCAAGAAAAAGTCAAAAAGAACTTGCATCATCCAAGAACGTCTTGATGTTTTATGCAGACATTTTTCAAATAATGAAATTGATTTGAATGAATACCTCGAAGGTTTGTCACTGATCGTCCCAAAAGATATGAACAAAAAAAAATGAATTGAAAATAGCTTTTTCAATATTATATTCAACTGCCGAGTTCTGTTTCTTAATTTATTCATTGTCTCTTTTTCTTCTCTTGAAATAGTTATCCTTATTGTCAAATTTTGTTATCTTAATCTATTCATATAATGTTTCTTCATCTCTATTTTTTTTGGAATAGTTTTTGACTTGTGCTTTATTTGCTAAAATTCTTGTCAATAAAAGAGATGACTAAATATATGCTATTAGTGTTTTCGACATTTTCACTTTCGACATTTTCGCTTTCGACATTTTGTTTTTCTACATTCACAACTTTCGACATTTTTTTGTTCGACATCCTGCTTTTCGACATTTTTACTTTCGGCATTTTTTTTTCTACATTTTGTCTTTCGACATTTTTCCTTCGACATTTAACCACTTTACCTTATAATATCATTGCATACAGAATTTAATCTTGAATAAAACGATGTGACATTTAAACTGAGTAACAAAAATTTTTTAGAGTGTTTTCTATAAAAATAAACTATGGCGTGAGCCTTTTAGAAAAGATCTCTATACGGTTTTTTCGAATTTTTTGACTTGAAAAATTTAGCTTTACATATTTTCTCTAAAACCTTGAAATATCGAATTATGTAGAATTTATGGAGTAAACAACAATTGATAATATATTTTTCTTTCAACATAAGTGCTCTACAACAGAAGTGAACATCTAAGTTGCTATAGGGTTTATTGCAGATATGATAATATTCGATCATGTCGACCATTTTTTCCGTAGTCTATATTTTTTTGTTTACTCCTTCCATTATTAGTAGATAGGGCTTAAAAGTCGCCTTATAGAGAGGAAGTTTAACATTGTGGGAAAGCCTGACATAATGCTGAAAACCATGCTCATATAAGCAAATCTCGTGAAAAGAAGCCAGATTTCCACGTAATTTGCACTTTGACTCTACTGCACTCATTTTTCTGCTTCTGAGACTGCTAGTGAATAGTTTGACGAATTGGAGGAGTAACTTTGTTCTTACTCTCGACAATAATGTTGATTAAGCTATTTCATCACACCAGTCATGTTTATATCATTATGAACGCATCTTCATATACTAGTCACACAGAAGTGGAGAAAGAGAAATAGACATTGGCACAGTCAACACTAAGGAAGAAGTCATACAGAGAAGAGAAGAAAAATGGAATGTAACTGTCATTTATCATTACACAGAGCTCAAAAAATGGCTCCTGTAATCAAAGTATAAGGTAGCTGAGAACTTTCTCTCATGGTGACAGCTGGTCGAATATAGATAAATCTACTGAAATAAAGCCAAATTTGACCATATTTCTGGTTTTTGATCGTATTGTGCATGTTTTTCTTCATCTATTGTAGATTTTGTTGTATAAATAATAGGTATTGTACTGAACCATAAATCACATTATAATTCATTCTAAGTTTTAACAAAGGGCGCGAAAAAAGAAGTATTAACTGAAAACAGAATAGAAACAGTATCCGTTTAACTTATGTATGGTACCATCCAATATTAGAGTGGCCTGTGTCAATGTCATATTGATGAAAGAGATGAATGAGGAAGTACTATTAAGATTTATGTTCTCGAGCTATGATCATTTACATAAGTTAGCACTTTTTTCAAGGTATTTGACAAAACAATCAACGTTTTGTAGGGTCTATTCTTTTGGAATGCTTTGAATACTAATAGAAATCCTAGTTTTTAATATTGATGTCAAATTAAGATCTCAATATGGAAAGGACAGAGCTAGTGTAAATACGGAGAAGATGATGAATGCAAATATTGGGTATGTGTCGATTAACAGTTGACCATTTTAATAAACAATAATAATAAACAATGTTTAGTATGATAAATTTTAAATCTCTTATTAACAAAAGGTTTTCAATACGAAGAAAAATTGTTGCATATAGCAACAAACAGGTATACAAAATAATCTAAAAATGGTGGATCATTAATTTCTTTTTTATTTTAATAAATCTTTTTACTAAACAAACAATTTAAACATATATTTGGACATGGATGTCAGGAGGTGAGCGTGTGAGTCTTCTACTGAACCACACCCACGGCCACCCACCTATCTACCCACACTGACACCCACATTTAAAAAAGCTCGAAGATGAACCCCATTTGAATAAATTACTTCAAATAATATTTTGTACATCTTGTGTCCAAAATAATGATGTGTTGAAAAACGAACACTTTCATTGTAGTCATTAATATTTACTGAATTATTCAGACCTTTTTCTAATTACACAATTTCAATTTCTAAAATGAAGAAAAAGTAAACATTGGTATATCAAAATATAATTTATTACTTGAATATTTTGCTCATCAACAAAAGAGTCTTGGTCATTAAAAGCATCAGTGTGCAGTAATAATGAATTTATCGTAAATAGAGGCTATTTCATTCTTGTATAAGTAGAATAAGATTTTCAAAAATTTTTGACAATTCATTGTATCGATAAAAAAAGACTCGATAAATCATAGCTAATTTATCTTTTTCAAAAACAATGCAGACATATATCTACAACAATTTTTAATCTTAAGATAATGTTAGCGTTCGGCCTCACAAAGAGCGACGAACACAGTTAAAGATGTGTGCGTTTTCTTCTCTCTCTGTTTATTCTTTGAAAAACAAGTGTTTATATATGATCATAAAAACAAGAACAAAAACTAGAAAGGAATACAACGATTAATCAAGGTCAAAGAAAAGAAGTAATAGAAATGAAATGATAGAATCAAACATATACGACGAACACAGAAAATATCAAAGAAAAGAGAACGAAGAAGATCGAAGTGTATGTTGTAAGAATGCACTGTAACAGATAATCATCTAGATTATGAAATTCATGGAAAGAAAATTTAATTAGTTTT